GTGTTTCTCTCTCACGTGGGTGTTTCTTTCCCTCTCTCTCCCTCCCTTCTCTCTCTTTAAGGTCAACAGGCAAGTCCTTGGGCGAGAATTGAAAACAAAATAAAGCATTTGTGCTGCAGGTGAAAGACAATCTATAGAATGAGAAAAAAAATATGCAAATCATGTTTGGTAAGAAACTGCTATCCAGAATAAAGGTCTCTTACAATCCCACAAGGGAAAAATAAACTCGATTAACAAATGGGTAAAGGATGTAAACAGACATTTCTCCGAAGAAGATATACGAATGGCTAATAAGCACATGAAAAGATGGTCAATGTCATCAGTCGTTAGGGAAATATAAATCAAAACCACGTTGACTCACTAGGATGGATATAATAAAAAAGACAGACAATAACAACTGTTGGTGAGAATGCGGAGAAATGGGAATCTTCTTCATAACTGATAAAAATGTAAATAGTGCAGCCACTTGGGAAAACAGTCTGTAAGTTCTCCAAGAAAATGGAGCAACTCAAATGTCCATCAGTGGATGAATGGATAAACAAAATCTTATCTCCACACAATGGAGCATTGTTTGTTAGTAAATAGGGATGAAGTACTGACACGGGCTCCAATAGGGATGAACCCAAGCCACATTCCAGGTAAAAGAAGCCAGTCACAAAAGACCAGGTAACGTATGATTCAATTTATTCAAAATGTCTAGAATAAGCAAATTTATATAGACAGGTTAGCGGTTGCCAAGGGCAAGAGGGGGTGGGTGGCAGAGATTGCTAATGGGTACTGAGTTCTTTTGGGGATAAAGCAAGTGTTTTAAGATGGATTATGGCAATGGCTGCACTCTTAAAACACACTAAAAATCATACTAACGAGCATACTTTAAATGGGTGAAAAGTATGACAGGTGAATCATGATCTCAATAAAGATGTTGAAAAAACAAACAAAAAAGGTTGACCAGTGTTTGTGAGACCATGCGATGCTTGCTCGGTATGACTCACGTTTCTGGTAGCCTCCTGGCATTGCCCGCAGCACAAACACGCGCACCTGGTGGGGGCCTGGGGGGTGAGCAAAATTAGAGCACCTCTTCCGATAGCCATCTGGTCCGCATGATGCAAGCGACTGCTATTTTTGGAATGCAGCGCAGCACTGGGTGTCCGCCCTAACCTGCTGGAAGGGCCCGAGAAGCCGGCTGCTGCCTGGAGCTGCTGGCAGCAGCTCTTGCATCCGCTGAGTGGGCAGCAAAGGGACCTAAACTGCACAGTAGAATGCTCACAGCTGGCTCAGAGAGCTTCCTTGTGACAAAACACGCACAGCACTGGGCAAAGTCCTCCTCACTCCTGAACTCCTCCCACCTCCCACTCCCAAGTAAAGTCTGCTATTCTAGGTCAACATACTTTAAATGTAGGTGCCTTATGAATCAGTGAGAATTATGTCATGATCCAGAGGAAGGACTTTTTACGAGTATTATGTAAGGGAGCATTGGCTCTGGAGCCACTTCCTAACCGTGTGACCTGGGGCCAGTTCCTCTACCTTTCTGCATCTCAGTGTCTCCATCCGGAAAATGGGAACAGTCAAGGCAATTGCTTCCTAAAACTGCAGTGACGACGGAATGAACTGACCCACGTAAAACGTTTAGAATAGTGCGCGGAATATTGTCAACGTTAAGTTTTTTTGCTGTTCTTACACATAGTGGCAGGTAAACCCCATCTTCTCATGGAGGAAGACACTAAGCTCCGCAGTGGTCAAGTGACCGCAGTGGGCAGTGACACAGGGGGCAGTGACACAGGGGGCAGTGACACAGGGGACACAGACTTTAGGTCTGACTCCTCTCCTAGTGTCCTTGCTACGACAGCGCATTCGTGCAAACCATGCACATGTCCTAGCCCTTGACTAAGTTTTAGGGCTTGAAAGACACAAATTACACACACACGGTGCCTGGCCCCTGTGTCTCACATGACACGGGTGTTTGTGGAACATCTAATCCACTCCCTTTCCACTGCAGGTTTAATCTTCTAATATCTGAAGAGGGGATTTGACACTAAACCCCAGAATGTCCAATGTTCAGCTGCTCAGAAGGCAGGGGGGCTCGGGGCTGTTGAAGAAAATGCACGTAAGCAGGTTTCCCCCCCATTTTTCCTCGGAAGGAACACAGGGTACCTGAGCATGCGCAGTATATTAGGGCAAAGAGACTTTTCCTCCTTTCTCTTTCTGTATTTTAGTGGTAGTTTCATGCAAGAAATAGAGATGTTATTCTCAAGGCTTGATGTTGTCAACTTTTAATACCTGATACCTATTAGTTTAATGTAAGAGGCAAAAGAAGTTCACAAAAATAACTACGTTATTTGGTAAAATACCAAAAAATGCAGCCAAGGTAAGCTGTAAGCTTCTGAATGATCTTATCTCCCCCTCTACCCCCACCCCACACGCAGTCACTGCACAGTGTCTAGACCAGCCTGTGAGGCCCTAAAACATCAGGCGCCCCGCCCCACCTCCTGCCGGCCCCTGGTTTGTTACAGGCTCACTCCTCCCCGCTCTCCAGTCGTGCGGGTCTGCCCTTCTTTCACTTCCTCAAACTCCCAGGTCTCTCTCTGTCTTACTGTAAGGCCTGCACACTGACGTTCCAGTACCTAGAAAGGTCTTCCTCACAGCCTCCAGCTGCACCTCTGCCTTGGCCTCACCACCTAGTTTCAATTTATCTTTCGAGATCTCTTAAATCTTTTCCTCAAAAAAGCTTTCCCCAATGACCGGGACTAGCCTCTCCTCTTCCCCTCTGCCCCAATCTCGCACACACTTGGAACACGCATCTGACCACTTTCTCCATGAATGTCTGTCTCCTCCAGCCCCTTGACTGGCAGCTCGAGGAAAGCAGGGCTGTGTCTGTCTCCTCCGATGTCGCTCACCCTGTGCCCAGCTCAGAGTGGGTGGCGAAGGAAGTGAGCCACGCTCACCAAGGGTTCAAACTGGCTGCTAAACGGACTTCCTAGCTTTCCCACTCAAATGCGACATGGCATTCCCTATCAGGCTGGGGTGCATGATAGGAATGCACAAATTACACGGAGCATTATGTTCCCCCTTTGGGGGAAAACTCAGAAAGAACAAAAACTCGGACTCGGGATTACGTGTAAAATGCATCAGTTCTCCCTAGGCTATTATTCTTCTTCCTTTCCAAAGTCAATGCATCTCCTAATGTGGTTGAATGTGTTGAACCATAATTCTAAGTATATGCAGGAAAAGTGCTGTGATGGGTGTCTGTAAGCAGTGTGCCTGCAGTGAGGCAGCCCTGGGGGGCCAAGGGGACAAGCTGCATGGCGTGAGGACAGTGACCTCTTCCTTTGGGCTTCCGCCCTGGCATTACTCACAGAATGAACTTCTCTTACTCGGAGAAGGAAAAAAGTAGACTCGGAACAGATGGCACAGGCATCACACGAAAAAGATTCCAAAAGGTCCTTCTAGAGAAATTGTGCTCTATTAAAGGATAACACAAAAAACAGTCAGGAAAAAAAATAAGGGGCTTTCCATGCTCAGAAGGTAGGGACTGTACCAAGAGACTAAACTTTCTACATGGAGAGAAGACTTAGAAAAGAGAGACAAAAACCAAAAAAAGGAAGGGGTGCGGGAGATGGAGAAAAAGGAAGAGGAAGGACTGTTGAGGATGAAAGGAAAAAGTTACAAAGCACATGCGATGGAAGGGGGCGATTGAACAGCTATTAAATTGTACTCAGCGGTAGAAGATCCATACATCTCGGAGTTCAAAGACCTGTCAAAAGGAAAAATGAGCCGACCTCTAGGTTAGGAGAGTGCCAGCCCCGGACGTCCACTGAAGCCCTGCCATGAATCACCCATATCTAATGCAATCGCTTGGCATCAGTGAAGGTCCCTGGAGAAAAGGCCTGCCTGGTCTTCCCAACACCGCTCCTCACTCGGTCCCCACTAATGATCACAGGAAAAATAAACGGAGCTCACTTCTAACCACACAACGCACAACGCACAGGAAAGAGATGCTGGGTACAACCAGCAGGTGCACTTGGCTGTGCTGTGTAACCTCATCAAATTCACTACACCAACTATTCCTCCCAGACACATCCGTCCCCAACACACCCCAGAGCATCGCCACACCACGACCCTGAAAAACTGTCCTACCAGAAAGGGTGGGAAAATATACCTCCCTGATTCTAAGAGATACTGGGAATATTTCTAAACGCAGACATTGCTATTAGAATGAAAAATGCCTAGCTCATTTCCCATAATAAAAAGTTTAATTCCAAAAAAGTGCCTAACATAGTTTCCAGCTTACAGAGGCTTTTTATTAAATGCTGCTTGCAAAAATGAAAAACAAAATGCTAGTTCTGAATCATTTTCACAGCTGAACAGTCCTGACCTCAAGATATGAAGGAACTACTTCCACAAATTGGAAAGGAGTGGGCTACTATTTTTAAGCCATTCTGTTCTGCAGGGCAAGAAAACAGCTGATAAGATTTGCATTGATTTGGTGGTACTTTCTGAGTCTGTAAAACAAAAAGAAATGCTCAGCGATAAAACCAACAACCTTGCGCAAGCCGTGGAGCTCTGAAACTGTTGAGATGGAACTGTGACAACTAGGTCTGAAGGTGACAAGGGAAAGCGTTTGCGCTGGGGACTTTGAAAAAGGCCCTTTCCCCTCTGGAATTCCAGGTTACTATGGTATGGCCAGGCAAGATCAGCGCCTCCCTCCCGGTGACACCGAGGGCATCGTGCTTTTCAAGTCACGACAGATCTCAGGATTTCGTAGGTTTCCTTGAAGTGAAAGGGTAGCTATTGCCCTCACCCAGTCCCAACAGGGGAGTGTATCAGAACAGCACGGGGGACACTGTCCTGTGAGTGAAGTGCTTTGAAGAAATATTCCCGGTCCGCACAGGTCTCTATGGTTCTAGGAGGGGTTGTGACCCCGACCCCCAAGAGGCGCGTCCCCACGTCGCCCTCCAGCTGCTCAGACAAAGGACCGAGCCCCTGGCGCGCCCCCCACTCACCGCTCAGATAGTTGGTCCACTTGTACAGCACCCCCTCCATGGCGCCCGTGGCCCCTCCGCCTCTGCCGCGCTGGGGCCACTGTCCCTCGATCGCCAGCCCCCTCACTGCTCCAGACCCCAGGAGGCGACAAGCACCGGCGGCAGGGCCATCTCCCGGGGCTGCCGAGCCGCCCACTCCCGGCGCCCGAGTCTGGTGCGGGGACGCCTGGCCAGTCTCACATTGTCAGCCCGGGGGCGGGGTCACTGCAGCGGCCTCCGCAGGTTAGCACACGACAGGGGCTGGCGTGCTTCGGCCAGGAGATTAAGATGCTGGGTGGGCAGGAGGGGCGACTGAAGCCTTCAAAGTGCCGCAACACGGGCAGCGGGTCGCTGGCGGCGCCACCGCGCGCTACCTGAGTCCTCGACCTGCCGGGGCCCACAGCCCACTTGCGCATGCCCAGTACACCGTTTGCGTGAGTCCGTTCCTGAAATCCACTCCGGAGTTTGGCTGCTACAACGAGGGCGGGGCTGAAGGAGCCAAGAGGCCCGCAGGGAAATTGAGTCCTGGTGGGCTGGCTTGCAAGAAATCTTTGGGTGAAAATGGAGGAGGGAAGCTGGTGGGACAAGTGTGGGACTTGCTCCTGACTGTTAATGGTGCCATAGATGGGTCGGGTCCTACCCTCCCCCCTGCTGTTTGGGGGTTAACATGGCCCCTTAGGGAGGCCCCTGGATTCTAGTTACCAGGAGATTTCAAGGCTGCCCAATTGATCCCACACACTCCTGGCACCCAACAATAGGGCTTAGGGAGATGATGGGAATTTCAGAATAGAATGCTGTGTGGCCGGTGTAAATGAACGTTGTAGAAATGCTAAGGCCTGGCTACCGGAAATGTGGTCCGAGGACAACAGCGCTGGCATCACCTAGGAGCTTGTTTGTCAGAATTGCAAAATCTCGCCTCCAGCCCAAATCTCTGGAATCGAAATCTGCATTTTAACAAGATCCCCAGGGGATTCTATGCATATGAAAGTGTGAGAAAGTTCTGTCCTAAGGTTAAGTGAGCAGGGAAATTAACTATAAATTGGGTAGAAAGAGCAAGTTACGGAACAGAGTGTACAATGTGTTCTAAATTATTTTAGGCATATGTCACAGAAGCATGCACCAAAATGTTAAGATTATTTGCGGCGTTATTTTTTCTTCTTTAGTGCCCTATTTAACAAATAAAAATACAGAGCAATCCATTGTTTATCTGAAATTTAAATTTAATTCAGCTCCCGTACTCTAACTGGAAACCCCCCTTCAGAGTTTTCCCGTTTCTTCCCAGTCGACTACAGTGAGCATGTGTGTTGATTTTGAAATTAGGCGGAAAAATGTAAAACTAACATGAGCCTGTGTAACTCCTAACTGTGATTACTTTTTTCTTTAAAGCAGAGGTGTGCACGTGCTTATCCTCGATGGAAACTATTGTAGACATTCTGGGTTAAGGACAACTAAATCCTAAGTGATAAATTATCAGTAGCCATAACTTTATGCGATGTTGTATAATGCATCAGAAGACCTGATTTGAAGGCGGAGCTCAACTGCTTTGGGGCTAATAACCTTAAGCAGGACACTTAATCTCTCCTAGTTTAATTACACTTTTTTTTTTCTTCATATGGGATACGAGAACCTGCCCCCTACTGGCAGTGGAGTAAGGGTCACTCACAGGAACGCACTTCGTTGAACCCTACAGCACTGTACATCTTTATTGTTTACACCGTAAGTTAAATAATAAGCAATAGCAGGGGTGTTAGACTGTGGAATCCTGGGGCTTCTCCCCTACGGTGAGAAAAAATACTTCAGGAAATCTCTACCATTTCACAAGGCCCCAGGACTCCTCTCACCACCCTCATCCCCTGTCTTTACACAAGTAAATCTGCCCTGGAAATTTCCGTTTAGCTCCTTGCCCCACCCCTCCCAAAATTCCAAGTTGCGGAATTCTTTAATCCTCGGGACTCTAGGACCATTCTGGGTGGTTCACTCTGGCCGACTCCTGGTCGGGCGGGTGGTAAATTACGTTCCTGCGGCATCATTGGCTTGAGAGGTGCCTGAGGGACAGCACTGCAAGCCAATGGGAGTCTGTACACGGAGTAAGCGCTACTCCTGCTCGGGATTTGGGTTTAACTCTTTAGAGGTGGGTTCGCAGTGCGTGGGAAAGTTGCAGATAGTAAACCTGCCACGTCTGCTAAGAAGGGAGTCATGAACTTGCTAGAGGCCGTTGTCCTTAAGTCATCGACTACGTGCATTCTTAACCCTTTGAGGTCCGGGGTCCTTTCTCTGTGTTTGTAGGAACTACTTCCCTGCTCCAGCAACATGAGGCTTTTTTTGTGGAACTCCGTCCTGACGCTGTTAGTCACTTCTCTGAGCGGGGCTCTGATCCCCGAACCAGAAGTGAAGATTGAAGTGCTCCAGAAGCCGTTCATCTGCCATCGCAAGACCAAAGGGGGGGATTTGATGTTGGTCCACTATGAAGGCTACTTAGAAAAGGATGGCTCTTTATTTCACTCCACGTAAGTAATTATTCCCCGCAGGAAAAACAGCGAAGAACCCACCCGTCCATGCCTGCTTAACGGCAGGAAAGGCAGCGTGTACCAAGTTTTACCACTCTTAAAAAAAAAACCCAAAACTGAAATATCTTATTTTCTTCTTTGGGGAAAGGAAATTGTTTGAAACCAATCTTCTATAAGGAGACTTTTTAAGGTCTTACTGGAAACATGTAGTCAAGATAAAGCTGTTCATTTTTTATTGTAAAAATTCGACCTAGAATCTCTGAAATACTGCAGAATATTTTGGGGTATAATAAAATGATGAATTTTAAAAAGCTTGAAGGAATTCTGCTTCTCAAACTTCATTCCTGAGGGAAAATGACTCAGATCCATTTTTAATTTGGTGTCAGTGAAATTGACTTAAAACTTTTCAGAGCTACTTCATGAGCGCGATACACAATCATTTATTTGCCTGTTGTAGGATATGTTAATGCTAATTCCCTGACCTATTTAACTTTTGTCCTGATATAGGACATGGCACAGGACCATGATTTATTTAATCATTTGTCTCTTTTTAGAAATTCAAGGACTTAATTGATGTGTATGGGTGTGGTTATGGATGATTAATCCTTTACCTACAGTGAAGAATTTTCAGGTGGTTAAACTATCATTATTTCTGTTCTATAAACAAATTGTAACGTATGAAAGTTTTACAAGTGTAATAATTTCCAATCAGGCATTGATTCTACTTACTGCATTCCAAAAGTATTGATTTGAACATTTCCTTTATGTTAGGCCCTGTGCTTGATACTGGAGTGACTAAAAACTTTGGCATCTCTCCATCACGGTCCATTCATTTATCTATCCGTCTATCAAACCGGGGCATTCAGATCTGGCCTGCTTTGAGGTTTGAGAGAAGTGATTGGCTCTCTTTTCTGAGCTCTGTTAGCCCTTGCAAAAGGCTCTAAAATGACATCTTGCCATAGAATTCTTAGCAACCCTGTCTTCTTATGTCAAGGCCATTGCACAGTGGATGTCAAATAGTAATCATGATTTTCATTTTAAATTTCCAATTATATTCTTATTTTCAGTCTGATCTGTTTTAGATCCACACCGATTTCTTTCAGGACTCAGAACCGGAAGCCCATGTGGACTGCGATGTCAGTCACGGGCATCATCAAGCAGTTTGCTGCTAAAGTCTAGTAATCAATGAGGCCTCCATGTAAATGGTCAGGAACCGCCCTGAGAATGATGAAGAAGTACCATAAAATGGTCATTTTATAAAGAATGTTTGCCATTTCTAGACCCATAGCCTACGAGCTAAATAAGTAAAGGTTTAAACCCTTTAGCCGTGACAAGAAATGTGCCAAAACTATAGTTGGTGCCGGGTGGTAGATTGTTTCTTTCCTTTTTATTTTTTCTACTCTTCCCAGATTTTCTACAATGGGCATTTTGTTACTTGGATCATAGGGAGAAATGAAGGATAAATGACCTTTATCTAGACTTAGTGACCATGGACCCATGAAGCCTAAGAGACTGGCTTCCCTTTCTCACCTGCAAGATACTCTTGTACAGAGCACTTTCCGTGCTGTACCAAAAGGGGGCTGAGTCTCAGACACTACCTGGCCCTCAAGGCCTCCAGCAGCTCCACAGGTCGGTTTTCTTGGGCTGGCCTCGCTTCAACTCTTGAGCCAGGATATCCTGACCATTTTCTTCTTCTTGAGTCCTTGAGGGGCTACCCCTCCAGGCTTTCCTGCATAACCCCACAGTAGACCCCTGCAGAGAGAATGGGGCCAGGGTCTGGGCAGGGGGATAAAGCACAGAAAAGCAGGCTTTCCCAGCCAGCAAAGCCATCAGCAGGCTGTATGTAAGGAACTTTGTAGGTAGGCCAGAAGACGCTATGCTCCTCACTCTCATGGTATCCGTGTGGGTATGGACACGAATGTGGGTCATAAATTCTTTTTAGTCTCTCAGCCTCCTTCTGAAACTCACCCACTCATAACTAGTTTTCTCCCTCTTCTGCACCCAGTAGCCTTGCTGGGACAGCATCACTTTAGGGTTAAGACCTTGAACTTTGTAGTTAGGTCAAACACTAGCATGCTTAACCTCAGTTTCCTCATCTGTACAATAGGGGATAATGGCATTTACCTCATACAATGATTGTTAGAGTTAAAAGAGGCAAAACATTTGGGGTAATACCTGGTATATGGTAAATGCTCAAATAACTGTTGACTGTTTTTATTACTATGCCCTTTGCACTTCTCTAGCTGAGTCATCAGTGTGAAATTTGCATCAAGAAATATGGACAGTGAATTGAATTACACCATAAAGTTGGTTTGGTTTTGTGTGTGTGTGTATAGCTGTTTTTGTTAATTTCCAAATTTAACCACTATAGGTGGGGGAAAATGCACCACGGCAATAAAAAAAAGCTACTAAAATGTTCTAATGTGTTTTCTTTCTATCGTAGTCACAAACATAACAATGGTCAGCCCATTTGGTTTACGCTGGGCATCCTGGAGGCTCTCAAAGGCTGGGACCAGGGCCTGAAGGGAATGTGTGTGGGAGAGAAGAGGAAGCTCATCGTCCCTCCCGCCCTGGGCTACGGAAAAGAAGGGAAAGGTAATGACGCTTCCACAGTTTTCTGTAGCGCTAGCGTGCTTTTCTAAACGAGGAGCAGCAGTTAGGGTAACTACTGTGTATTTTCCCCCCTAGAAGTAAATTCAGGACTTGTATTTCTGTGGAAAATATAATTATGTCTTGATTGTCATTTGAAATGGCCAATTAAAGCCATGATATCTAAATGGTGTACTGAGCTAACAATGAAAAAGGTCCTGGAAACTTCAACTCAGTTATTAACATTGTTCACCAGTACGATGGCTTCTTTTCTGTGTGTGTGTGTGTGTGTGTGTGTACGCGCGCGTGCATGCGCGTGCGCTACAGTATGCATAACATAATATTTACCATTTAAACACTTTTAAGTGCGCCATTTAGTGGTAGTAAGTCCATTCACATGTTGTGCTGACATCACTGCTCTCCATCTCCAGAACTTTCTCAGCCTCCCCAACTGAAACTCTCCAATTTATTTTCACGATGCAGAAAGAGCGATTAATCAGCATAAGTATTTTGATGAGTTGTGGTTTTGAAATATAGATGATTAAGGCATGACCTGCAGTTTTGGGTGTGAGCTGTGTGTGACACTCAACTGAAGTTTCCACAAGAAAGCTTACACAGTTTTTGGTAATTTAACGTGAAACAATGGAGTGACTTGAAATGAATTTAGGGCAGGGGTGTCAAACTCATTTTCACAGGGGTGGAGCGTGCACATCAGCCTCGTGGTTGCCTTCAAAGGGTGGAATGTAATTTTAGGAATGTGTAAATGTAACTACTCCTTAACTTTAAGGAGTTGCAATTACATGCGGCCCTTACATTCGCAAGGCTGATGTGGCCCCTGGTGAAAATGCGTTTGACACCCCTGGTTTAGGAGAACACAAGCAGGCAGGGGAGCTGGTCCAGGGAACCCCGGTGCTGTTTGCTCCAGGGCAGGCGGGTAGACCTGCTGTCTGAGTGGGAACCTGTTTGGCCTCCTGAAGGGCTGTTTCCCAGAGGCCAGAAGCCTAGGCATGGGCATGTATCCCGTGATGCTTTATTGTAACCTAACCTAAAGGAATAACCAGGTGTAGGAAGAAAGTTTTGTGAATAGAGATGTCCATTACCATGTTGTTTCTCATGGCAAGAAAATAAAAGTTAAAAAAAATAAAAATTGGAACCAACTTAAGTGTGTAACGAGAAGGGTTTATTTAGCAAGATAAAATATGGCCCAGTTACTTAAAAATGGCATTTCAAAGATTTAAATAATTATATCCAAAATGTGTATGCTATAATATTATATATAAAATTAGAAAATAAAGGTACAGCATAGATTATATTATGATAGTAAGTATTAGAAAAAAGTAATACACATACAAAGTGAGTCACAAAGAAATAAATAAAAATGTTAACAATGGGGCTGAGAGTTATTTTTATTTCTGGTTCTGTCACTTCCCAAATCTCTGCAATGGGCACATATTACCTATATGATGAAGAGAAAAAAGTTCTAAGTAGCCGTGAGAACCAGACGAAGGAGCACTCTGATGCAGTGGGAATACTGACTTCACAGCATCCCCAGGTCTAAGCCATTCACAAAGTGGGAGCCCAAGTCCCAGTTTCCTGGGAAGAAAATAATAGGTCTCATACATGAAGCATCGTGTGTTCTAAAATGGAACTGGAACTTGCTGTATAAACCTTACGCATAGAATGGGATTTACTAACCAAACTCATTCCTTCTTTCCACGATCATTCCCTTTAGAGAATCAAGTGTGTAGAAAGTGTTCTCTGATGCTCCAATGTATCCTCTCACCTTCCTGTGTCTTTACTGTGCCTCCTTTAATATTTAAACATGTAGCATTAGTCCATTAGTCCCTAAAGTGTTTGCCCCACTGCATGGAGCTGCATGTTCCTTCATAACCAGTAGGGATGTAAACCTGAGTTGTTTCCTTCAAACTGCGCACCGTGAAACTAATTCTGCTAATGTGTAACACTAATTTTGTAGTCCTGTAGTACCTCGTTTGCATGCCGCCTTTGGAAAGGGACCGGTTCTCTCGGCGACCTCGTGCATGCCCCCCCTCTGTCTAGGTCGGGAATGGCAGCGCCACAGACACAGCGTAAGTTCTCTCTCCTCAGCACTGACACGTGCCCTTTCCTGGGATTCTGTGGGGTGGGGAGACTGAGAAATGCTTGGATGTTTACCTAGGGCTGTACCTTAGGTATAGTTACAAGGAGACAGGTAAAAAAAAAAGTCTGTATTTGCCAGAAAAAAAATTTTTTTAAAGGTCTCTGGGGATTTAAAAATGCTCTTTTCACTTTAAAAAATTCTTACCTCTCTTCTCAGGAATGTGTTTTAATTTCTCCTCTTTCCTGAAATTTCTTTCACATATGTATAATGTCCTATATCTGAGGGGGTGCTTTCCAACTTTCTGGAATTGTTAACCCTTTCTGGATTGTTTTTAAAGCCTACAAGAGAATTCTATTTTAGCAACACATATTGAGAGCTTACCATTGATCAAGCATCACGCTAAGTGCTTTGCACGGACTCACTTTCCTTCATCTTGCCAGCAGACAGACTCTGGAGGTGGGCGTGACTGCCATTAGTGTTTTACAGACTGGGAAACTGAGGCCTAGAGATGGGCAGACGTGAGCTGCAGACCTAGACAGGGTGACGCCAGAGCCCGTTCAGCCGTCAGCCACCTCCGGTGGTGGAGGTGGCAGTCTTTCCGTCGAGACTTTCTGACCCAAGTTAGTAAACCACTGTTAGTAACTCTGAAACAGCTAGAGCACTTCGAGTCATTCTTGACTTAAGTATATTTGAAATGTTAACACCCAGGCCATTAGGCGTGTGTGTTTGTGTGTAAAACAATTTTCTAATTGCAAAGATAAAACCAGAATGCTTTTGATCTATTAGTTTGGATTATTCCTTCTTTATTCTACTTTTTGAGTAAAATATGATTGTAAGTAATTTCCATTACACGTGATAATCTTAGGAGGGCTCTTCATTTCATTCAATAAAAAGAATCATTTGTCCAATACCATAAGTTTTCTATCATCACAACTTTGGGATCTTTTTGATAAAACTGCACCCCCCCCCCTTCACGTTAGGTAAGATACCGCCAGAGAGTACACTGATATTTAACATCGATCTCCTGGAGATTCGAAATGGACCAAGGTCCCACGAATCATTCCAAGAAATGGATCTTAACGACGACTGGAGACTCTCCAAAGATGAGGTGGGTGCTCCTTCCCCTACTCGGTCTTTCTTCCCTTCTTTCAGCTCGCTTTTCAAGAAATATATTTTTAAAGGAAATTTATTTTTAACTTGAATAAAATATTATTTCTAAATCTTCTTAAAATGCCTATGGTATGAAAATGGACTTTTTCCTGGGATATCATTGTTTTGGAGAGAACCATATTGAGACTGAAAAACACACCATTTATTCTTTTGCTTTTTTTCTCTCCCTAGTGTTTAAGGTTGCCCTGAGTTGTTTTGTTTTTTTAAGATTTTATTTATTTATTTTTAGAGAGAGGGGAAGGGAGGGAGAAAGAGAGGGAGAGAGACATTGACGTGAGAGAGAAACACTGATGGGTTGCCTCTCCTTGGTGCCCCATCTGAGGACGAACCCAAAATCCAGGCATGTGCCCTGACCAGGTATCGAACCGGCAACCTTTGGTTTGTAAGGTGATGCCGAGTAACTGAGCCACACTGGGCAGGACTGTGCTGAATTTTTGAAAGCGTTCCCATTTTGGAATTACTGTATCAGAAACATAGGATATCCTGAGAAATATCTCTTGTGGACAGTTTTTGTTTAAACCTGTAGACTGGCTGTTAAATGCATTTTGTAGTGATTTCCTAACAATTAGCAGCAAGCACCTTAGAGATATACTCTACATTAATTTACAGAACTTCATCATGTCTTTTTTTAATTTAAATTTTGAGTTACTAATTTTTTTTTTCAGAGAGAGAGGATGGGGGATAGAAAAAAAGAAACATCAGTTTGTTGTTCCACTTACTTATGCATCCGTTTGTTGCTTCCTGCATGTGCCCTTGCTGGGGTATTGAACCCCCACCGTGGTATGTGGAAACCCCCACCCCACGTGGTGTGTGGAAACGACTCTCTAACTCACCAACTGTGCGGCCGGCCAGGGCAGACCTTCACCAGTTTTCCTTTTACAACTGCATTAAATCACCTTGACCTTAAAAATAAATATATACTATATGTTTGCCCGTTGGTGGTAAGAGGAGGCAAGAGGATTTGAAATTGCTGATCTGACAAAAGGAGTGATAAGAATATGATTAAAAATGAAAATGCAGGTTGTATATTCCATTATAGTGAGGCTGGTGTTTAACTGGGAACAGTATTTTGTTCTCTCTTTAAATACCAGAGTATTTAAAGATACGGAAGTGGAAACCTGTGTCTGCGCACCACTCCTCGGGCTGGGTTTTGCCGTAATTTCTGAGATCGGAAGGTCATGGGACGTGGTCATAGGCAGGTCCCCAGCATGCACTGTTCCCAGACACTTATTTAAATTGAAAACGCCACCGTGGAATCGGATTTTAGGGCAGATGTCTGGAATTCTGACCCTCGTTAGGAAACGCAATGTGGATAAGTGAATGCACTGAAAGACGCTGCCTTTCAAACGCTTGGCTTGATGTAGACGCAGGTCGAGAACAGGTGGTGTGCTTTGAAAATTGGGTGTTTTTCTGATGATGGAAGGCTGATCGTTGCCACAGGGCAATATTCTGTGTCCCTACTGTAGCGATACAGCAGGAGTTTTTGAGGGAAAAAAAGTCTTCGTGATTCTTTTACTGCCATTAGAAATGTACCCTACAGGCGCTGTTCAGTAGTTGTTATGCATCATGCAGTGAGCTACCAGTCCAGCCTGTGATACTGATTGGCTCCATATGGGTGTCTGATGAATTAGAATTATTAACCAGGCCTGTTATTTTGTAGGTTAAAGTGTATTTAAAGAAGGAGTTTGAAAAGCATGGTGCGGTGGTGAACGACAGTCATCACGATGTTCTGGTGGAGGATATTTTTGATAAAGAAGATGAAGACAAAGATGGATTTATATCTGCCAGAGAATTCACATATAAACACGATGAGTTATAGAGCAATATCTGCTTATTTTATATAGCATCCACCATTAAAGAGAGGCCAGCTGTCTTTAAAGAAAGTCTTATTTTTTAATGTTGTTTTGTTCTGTTCTTTGTTGTTTTTTGTGTTTTTTTGTTATTTTTATGTATTTTTCTGAATGTTATTTAAAGAACCCCTTGGATTTCTAAGTACCCATTTCTTTCTGGTAAATTATGGGGAAGAAAAAATTGTACTTGTCTTTGACTAAGAAGAATTCTGGACCAATGTCTACCTTCATATATGAAGTCTTGTGGCCTACTTACACTTTTAAACTATCACAACCGGGGCCCTGCCCAACACAAGTGCAAGTGTAGCCTAAAGCAGCACCCTCGGTGTCTGCTCCCCTTGTTTCCTCTGAGTTAGACACTGACGTTTGCAAAGCCCGTTGCGGTCACCCAGAGCTTGCTGTTTCCATGTCATCATGGAACAGTGTGTCTGCACCTGCCTTTGCGTTTCTGCCTGGACCAACAGAAAAATGATTGTTGAACTCTACTTGTTAACTGCTTTGCTGAGGAGATGTGCGATGCTGAAGCGTTGAACCAAGTTAACAGCTTACAACTGTGCGTGCATCGAATGTCCCGCCTAGGACTGAAGCTATACAGGGTGCGGCAGAAGCAGGCGTACAGTTGTTTGTATGGGAAATAATACGATAATTAACACATAATAATATGAGAATGATCTCTGTGTTTCACATACTCACAACTGTAAACCCACTTTGCCCCCACCCTGTGGGAGGTTTGGTTCCTGATTGCTACTGACTTTTCATGGTAAATAGAATCAATTGTTTATATGTGTTTCTTAATAAAATGTGTCAAAATATTGTAGTCGAGGTAGAAAGTTGTATTTAGTCAGTGCTTACCTTTTAAGGCTCACAGATCACCCTTCCTGGTGTTTAATCAATAGTCTATAACTTGTGCGTTATCCTATAACAGCACTGTGTTGTGATTAGTTAGCCAGTCAAAATTTCCCTGTTACTGCTCCATCAGAAAAAAGGCAGACCCACGGCAGCTGCTGTTGAATAAGGTCTATCCTGGGTCAAAAATGTGATGATTTTATTATGTCTTCTTCAGTTGGCTTTTATCCTTAAGAACTTTAAAAAGTGTGCAAATCCCCGTTTACTAAGAATAAGAATAGTCTTGTATCCTTTACAAAGTGATCATAGATACACCATTGGCTCGAATTCTCATTGACCTGAAGCCCATGAGAAAAGCTGACGGATCTTCACGCACCTGTTTTGTAGATGAGCAAATTGTCGTTCGAGGAGATCAATTGTTGTGGCTCAGGTCAACAACTAACTTGCCGAACCATGTTTCAGTCCCCAAGTTCGTTATCGCTCTACTACCCTCTACTATTGAAAAGTAAAACTTGCATTCACTGGGTCTAATTTTCTCTTCAGTTTGCTTTCCTGTTTTTTGTCTTTGGGTCCTTATCCTTTGAAGATGCTTTACTGGCTATTTCTGGTGCCTTAGAGTGCCCCCCTTGACCCATACCTGGCTCTGGTGTTGCTGAACAATCTTGGGGTCAGCGATGAACTGCCTTATTAAGCCCGGGTGTGGTATGACGTTCCCGATATGTATCTTAGTCTTTTCATTCCTGTTTAGCTCTAGATTTTTTTTTTGTTTTTCTTTAAAGAATCATGAACAACTCTTACATCATACATAGACTTTCAGTGATTATATATTGTTTTCCTCGCTAACACCTTTCTCTGATTAAATTGGCTATAGCTAGAAAACTCTTAAAATCACTGCCATTTTCCTCAACCTGGAAGAGTTGGAAGTCGCACTGCAGAAAGCCTCATGGGGCAGGAGGAGAGGAAAGGAAGTGAGTAGCTTGTCACGTGGTGCTACTTTGTAGAAACATCACTGGCGATGCTCTCTATGGCAGAGCAAGGAAAGTCAAAAGAATTTTGATCATTCAGGCAGCACATTTCTTTATCTCGGGTGACTCTGTATCAATTCCCACAAAAACATTTAGACACAAGTGTGAAATGGAAACATGTAAGTGGCGGCGGTTGTCTCTCTGTACCTTTTCATCTGTGGGAGTAATCAGACACAGGCCGCCACTCCACTTGTACGTACTTGGACTCATTAATACTGCTAGGTGTGTCATTGACATTTACACTGCCATGTTATGGTGTTCTTTTCAAAATAAAGTCTATTTGGGAAATAACTGGTTGCGTGAAAAATTCTTTGCTGATTTCCTCTGCCCTTTATTGATTTTCTTAACTGGTTTTCTAGGTTTTCTATCGAAACCAAGGGAGGGAGAAGGATAGGTAGTTTGGGGAGGGGTAGAATGACGTTTTGAATGTGCCCAATTATCTACTCTGTTCAGATACATTTGTAAGGAAAGCTGTGATTTGGTGCAAAGTGTTTTGAAATCAGCATTAAACCTTCAGCATTGAGGGCAATACTTAATAGTGAATTTGGGGTTCTGGAGATGGTATTTGTGGGCTTTTTGTTTGTTTTTCCATGGTAGTTATCACTTTTGTTTTGGCTTGGGATTTTATTGTGTGTCATGAGTAGGTATGATGATGATTAATGCCTACTGAGTAAATTAGTGCTATAAAATACCCTATGTAATTAAATAAAATGCTGGGGTGCTATAAAAATAACAAGAAAATGATTTCTGTTTCAGGTGGGTGATTAGCTATTTGAAACTCTCCTTGCAGAAATGAAGTTTTATTCCTCCTCTTATTTGTGATACAGGATATTGCTTACCTCCGTAAGGCTATTTAGATACCAGCATGCTATCTCTCCTCACTGAACTGAGTGCATGGGTGACTTCTCAGTGTCTGCAAATTGCAAGAGGAGAAAAAACTTGGTGCAATGTTATGGGAAAAACACATTTCTCACCTTTTTGTTAAAAAAGTGAAGTATCATTGTATTAATAACTGTACTAGAACAGAAAAAGGATCGTCTGGCTTTCCCAAATTATTCTATGTTATTTTTTTTCAAAATTACTTAGAGCTCACTTCTTTAGAAGAATACATAGTCAAGAGATTTTGGAAAAAATAATAGTTTTCTTCTTTCCAAAGATTATGTATGTGTGTGCATGTGCATTTGTGTGTATATACACATGTGGTGTACTATATACTGTGTATAAACTATATACTGTGTGTATTTAAAGTTTTCTACTGAAGATAGTTATGAAATGCTCTCTTGTACATGATTCCCCCTCTGAAAACTTGTAGCTAACAATAGTGTGACGTTGTTCCACTTACAGTGTAAGTCCTAGAGGAGAACATAGGGAGGAACATCTCAGCTATTCCACGCAGCAATATTTTCACCGATATGTCCCCTAGGGCAAGGGACATAAACAAAAGAATAAACAAATGGGACTTCAACAAAATAAAAAGCTTCTGCATGGCTAAAGAAAACATTAGCAAAATGAAAAGGGAACCTACCATATGGGAAAATATATTTGCAAATGATACCTCAGACAAGGGTTTGATCTCCAAAATATATAAAGAAGTCACACAACTCCACTCCAGGAAACCAAACACCCAATTAAAAAATGAGCAAAGGACCTGAACAGACACTTCTCCAAGGAAGATGTACAGATGGCCCATAGACGTATGAAAGGATGCTCAGCATCACTAGTCATCAGAGAGATGCAAATTAAAACCACAATGAGATACCACTTCACACGGTCAGAATGGCCGTCATGAACAAATCAACAAACAACAAGTGCTGGTGAGGTTGTGGAGAATAGGGAACCCTAGTACACCGCTGGTGGGAATGTGGTCTGGTGCAGCCACTGTGGAAAACAGTATGGGATTTCCTCAGAAAACTAAAAATGAAACTGCCTTTTGACTTGGCAATTCCACTGCTGGGATTATACCCTAAGAATCCTGAAAAAAACAATTCAAAAGAACCTATGCACCCCAATGTTCATAGCAGCACAATTTACAATAGCCAAGTGCTGGAAACAACTTAACTGCCCATCAGTAAATGAGTGGATCAAAAAACAATGGTACATTTACACAATGAAATACTACACAGCAGAAAGAAAGAAGGAGCTCCATCCTTTGTGACAGCATGGATGGAGCTGGACAGCACTATGCTAAGTGAAATAAGCCAGGTGGTGAAAGACATATACCATATGATCTCACCTATAAGTGGAACCTAATGAACAAAACAAACAAGCAAGCAAAATATAACCAGAGACACTGAAATAAAGAACAAACTGACAATAACCAGAGGACAGGTAGGAGGGGATAAAGAGGGAAGGAAGGAAGGGTCGTCAAGGAACAGGTATAAAGGACCCATGGACAAAGCCAAAAGGGGGTAGGATCAAGGGTGGGAGGTGTGGATGGGTTGGGTGGGTGGGAGTGGTGGGAAAAACAAAACGAGGTAATGGATGTTTAATTACACTTACTGTGATGATCATTTGGTAGTATATACAAACATCAAATTATTATGTTATATATCTGAAACTAATATAATATGTTAATTATACCTAAATAAAAAGGAATTAACTAGAAATTTATTAAAGTACCTAATGTAATTGAAATTAGGGGGATGTGTGAAGAAATACAGTTCTGACATTTTTTAGATCTGTCAGGACCTAAAACTTTATGGTTTCCTCATTAAGTCTGTCTTCATATTAGTGCTTGTAAATAAACCCAGAAATGTTTCCATAGTGCTTTTCCCCTGACACAGGTGACTAGAGGGAGTTTTTATGAGGATCTCTGCATGACGATGCATAAAAGCTGAAATTACCACACCTTATTTTCCACCCCCTTTTTTTCTGGAAAAAGAAAAATCTTTGCCTCCCTCTGTGGAACCCCACCCCCAAAATCTGGTATACTTTTATTTATTACCTCTTAAATCTCTGAACATGGCTAGATGGAGTATAAGAGACTGTAATAATTGCAGGCTATTTTAGGCGATTTTTCCCTCTTGCAAAGCAGCTCACAGAAACCTTGTAATTCACTCACACCTACACCTCACGTGGTTGATTGAGACCGGTGATAAAAATCTTTATTGATATTTCTTGATGTTCTCCATATTTGTTTGGCTCTTCTTTCCCCTGTCTCTATTTGTGAGGCTTCAGTAGCAGCACTGTCTGTCTCCTGTATACGAAGCAGAGGCAAAGTGTATTGCTGCTGCTAAATACATGTTAATAACATAACCAGCGTCTTCCTGCCGACCTTGGGGAAAGCAGATGCCTCTCTGTTCTCACATGGTCCTGGCTGCGTGCCTGAGGCCCTGGGGTCGTGTAGAGAGAGAGACTGGGCACTAGGCTTCAAAGGTTTCAGGCCCAGTGGGTAGCCTGGTGGCTCCTAGGCCGGTGCTCCATGCTGCCGCCAGTGGAGGAGCGTTGGTGTGCAGGTATCATCATCTACATGAAAAGTGACCCATTATGGCCGCAGGAAGGCATAGAACTGCATTTGTTTTCCAGCAGTGACTTACTGAGTGCCCTCAAACTAGGTCTGGCTCTCAGACGTCAATGTGCAAGAGAATCAACTAGGTGCTTCTGGCCAAGATGGAGGCACAGGTAGACACACTGTGCCTCCTTGCACAACCAAAAGAAGGACAACACACTTAAAAACAAAAAACAGCCAGCACTGACAGAACATTGAACTGTATGGAAGTCTGACAACCATTTATCCAGACCTGTAGGAAGGGCGCAGACAGGCAGCTGGGTGGAGAGGACTGGCAGCAAGGCAGTGGCTGGTGGAGCAGGTGGTCCCACATTTGCATGCAGGTAAACCAGGAGGAACAACCAGGGGAGCAAGACAGACCCCACAACCCAGGGCCCCAGTGCGGGGCAATAATGTCTCAAACCTCTGACTGAAAACACCTGTGGGGGTTGAGGCAGCGGCAGAAACTCCCAGCCTCATAGAAGAGTTTGTTGTAGAGACCCACAGGGTCCTAGAACATACACAAGCCCGCCCACTGGGGAATCAGCACCAGAAGGGCCCGATTTGCTTGTGGGTAGTGGGGGAAGTGACTGAAAACTGGCAAAGAGTGGAGCAAGCGCCACTGTTCCCTCTCGGACCCCTTCCCCACATACACTGTCACAACACAGGGAGTATGTTGTCCCGCCCCAGTGAACACCTAAGGCTCTGCCCCTCACTACGTCACTGGTGCACGAAGACAAAACAGCCCAAATGAAAGAACAGATCAAAGCTCTAGAAGAGATACAAATAAGTGATGAAGAGGTAGCCAACCTATCAGATACACAATTCAAAACACTGGTAATCAGGATGCTCACAGAAGTGGTTGAGTATGGTCACAAAATAGAGGAAAAATGAAGGCTATGAAAGGTGAAATAAAGGAAAATATACAGGGAACCAATAGTGAAAGGAAGGAAACCAGGACTGAAACCCACGGTTTGGAGCAGAAGGAAGTAACAGTCAACCAGAACAGAATGAAGAAACAAGAATTCAAAAATATGAGGAGAGGCTTAGGAACCTCCAGGACACCTTTAAATGTTCCAATATCCGAGTCATAGAGGTGCCAGAAGGAGAAGAGGAAGAGCAAGACATCGAAAACATATTTGAAAAAAAATAATGAAGGAGAACTTCCTTAATCTGGCAAAGGAAATAAACTTCCAGGAATTCAGGAAGCTCAAAGAGTCTCAGAGAAGTTGGACCCTAGGAGGAACACACCAAGGCACATCATAACTACATTAGCCAAGATTAAAGATGAGGAGAGAATCTTAAAAGCAGCAAGAGAACAGGAGACAGTTACCTACAAGGGAGTTCCCATTAGACTATCAGCTGATTTCTCAAAAGGAACCTTGCAGGCAAGAAGGGGCTGGAAAGAAGTATTCCAAGTCATGAAAGGCAAGGACCTCCATCCAAGATGACTCTATCCAGCAAAGCTATCATTTAGAATGGAAGGGCAGATAAAGTGCTTCTCAGATAAGGTCAAGTTAAAGGAGTTCATCATCACCAAGCCCTTATTATGTGAAATGTTAAAGGGACTTATCTAAGAAAAAGAAGAAGATCAAAACTATGAACAGTAACATGACAACAAACTCATAACGATCAACAAATGAATCTAAAAAACACAAAAACAAAAACAAATTAAGCGAATAACTGGAACAGGAACAGAATCACAGAAATGGAGATCACATGGAGGGTTATCAGCTGGGGAGGGGAAGGAGGAGAAAACGGGAAGAAGGTACAGGGAATAAGTAGCATAAAAGGTAGGTAGAAAAGAGACAGGGAGAGGTTACTAGTAGTATAGGAAATGGAGAAGCCAAAGAACTTGCACGACCCATGGACATGAACTAAAGAGGGGGGATGCAGGTGGGAGGCGGTGTGCAGGATGGAGTGGAGGCATGGGGGGGATGTGACAACTGTAATAACATAATCAATAAAATATATATATATAAAGGAATCAATTAATAGCGTGACAAAATGCAGGTCTCCTGGCCCCAGCCTCAGCGACTCTGAATTCAGTCGATCCTAGAACAAGTCATGTAGGAACATTTAATACCATTTAAACTCACTGGACTACAGGTCCCTTGGTTGGATTAAATGCACAATGAGGTCCCTTTGTGCTCCGAGAGCATGTGTACCAAGGCTCTGTTCTATAGTATTATCTGCCCCAATTCCCTCAGCCCTCTCCTACTATCCATTTGCTCACGTGGCGAACCACAATCATTAGCATAGCATTCAAAGGACAGGCAAGAAAGTCTCCTTTCCTTCCCTCCATCCACTCGGCTCTCCCTGGTGGCATCTACTGTTACAGTTTCTAATATATCCCTCCCAAGATATTCTATGCATTTGCAAATAAGAGTACAGACGTGTATTTTTTTTTCTTCCCACAAATGATAACACACACAATGTTTTACACATGGCTTCTGTCTCCTACTTAATATAGGTTGGAAATCTCACCTATTAGTTCACTAAGTGCTCCCTCATTTTTTAAATAGCCAGACAGCATTCCATTGTACTGTGCCGTAATTTATTTGAATAGTCCCTGCTTGATGGACGTTCACTTCCAATCTTTGCCCGCACAAATAATACAGCAATGGATAACCTTGCACTCATATCATTTCACGCCTGTGTCGTATCTGTAGGATAAGTTCCAGTAGTGGAACCCTCCAAAGATCGTATATGTATTTGTTATTTGGGGAGATGTTGTCAAACTGCCCTCCATGGAGGTTATACAACTTTTGGGTTTTGGCTAATCTGACAGGTGGAAAAGGCTACCTTGTATTTGAAGGTAAGTAAGCCTGAACGACTTTTCATGTGCCTGAGTGGTACTGCATTTGTTTTCCTGTGAACTTTCTCTTTACAGGACAGTCTTTTTTATTAATTCATAAAAGATAGAGTCTGTGTTTTGTTAACAGATAGATGGTCATGTCCAGACCAATGACCTTGACGCCAGAGCACACCTGTACACGTACACCCACACGCGCACACACACACACACACACACACACACCCCTGTCCCCTGTGTTATTAACCTGGGGATGGAATCTGGGCTTTGTCACTTTTTATGTGACCTTGGGTGAGTTACTTAACCTCTCTGGGGCCCACTGCCCAAGTACCAGGCACAGGATCTGGCATACCGACGCAGCACAGGATGGCATCTAAAAACCAGGGAATTGGCTCGGACGTGTGAGTCAACAAAGTTCAGGACACGTTTCTCCACGGGGACATCTCGCTTAGGCACCAAGGCCCGCAGGTAGCAACCAAACGGCGGAGTCCTGGAGAGGCGCCCGCCCGGAGGAAGCGGGGCCTGGCTCTCTTAAAGCCCCGGTTTTCCCTTTAGTGACAGCTGCCACCCCGGCGGTGACCAAGAAATAAAAATCGAGCAAAGAGCCACTTTCTGCCGCGGGATCCGCCCTGTCGGCCACTCCTCCTGCCGCCAGGCGCTCTGCCTCACCGAGCCGAGTGCGGCGCTGCAGCCCGGGTGGCCCAGACGCGACTGGTGCTGCGCGGCCCCCGGGTCCCGGGCGGGGGGAGGCGGGGTGGACCCCGCGGTCACGTGAGCCGGGCCAACTGTGAGCGGGGGCGGCGGGCCCCAGCGCCGGGAGTCTGAGGAGGGGGAAGCGCCCGACGGCCGCCTCCGCCCCTGCCGCTGCAGCCCCGGATGTCGCTGCAGTAGTCGCGCCCGCGGCGGCTCCCGCACCCTCGGCGGCTGCAGCATCAGCACCGCAGAGCCGCTCCCTGAGCCCGCCGCCCGGCAGGTGAGCCTCGGCCGGCACGACCCGGAGCGCACGGCGTCGGCAGCCGCTTCTCCCCGCAGATTTCACCGCCATCCGCCATCGCCGTCTTCTGCGCCTCGCGGCCGCCTGCTGTCCCTCGAACCCGCGGGTAGCGCTCCCCGGGGCCCACTCCTGGCCGGTGCTGGCTGGGATAGCCTAGGGTCTCCGGGGGAACAGGGGATTGGTGGCCTCGAACCGGGGTTGGGGGCGACTGGGGTTTATGGGCTGCGGGGGCGCAAAAGAGGGGCGCCCCACCCTGGGCGCGAGGACGGCAGCCTGGTCGGAACCTGCCCTCAACGGTCCACACCCCAGCCCCATCCATGTCCCCATCTCCCTTTAACTCGCCTCAAACTCCCCGGGCTGCTTTCCCTGAGTTTCCTGTTCTTGATATCCAAGTTGCTGCCCCGCTGGGGTGTGTGCCTGTGCGCCCCCCACCCTCGCCACCCCTTGGATCGCTCCCGGGGTTCGGCGATCGCCGGGGCGCGGGAGCGGGCCTGGCACCTTCCCCGGAGGTAACGCACCTGCCGCGCGGGTGGGCGCGCGCGCGCGCGAACATGGCTGCCTGGCGGGACCGCTGCCGGTGGCCCGTCTCTGTCCCCACGTCCACCCGGTGCGCGGTCCCGAATCGGGTACCGGGGACCCCCTCCCCTTCAGGGCAAACGGGTGGGCTGCGGCTCTCCTCCACTCTGGCCGGGACTTGCCACAACTTGTCCACGAGCCACGCCCGGAGCGATTCTTAGGAGGCAGGGATGTGGAGGCAGATTATCGCGATGGCGCGGGGGCCACTTATCGGTAAATAAGGCACCAAGGCATTTCTGGAGGATTATCCGCTGCAGTTTGCCTTTGCCTCCTCGCTTCTCCTGGCTGTTGGGGCGTCGATTGTCTGGCGACCACACTGAGATGAGTGTAGTCTGCAAGCAGGAGGCACTCCTGCCTTTGAACTTTAGAGAATGGACGGTAAAGGTGAAAAATGTCCGCTAAACCCAAGTGCATCTAAGGAAGCTGTCATTTGCTGAGACTCAAAAACCGAGTCAGGGTGCCGTTAAATAACATGCGCTTTCTGAATCTGCGGTTTAACTCCGTCTTGCAAGTGTCTTGAATTAGGTGGTGGCAAGCTTCCCGGTAGGGTGTGCGTCTCCTGTGTTCCAAGCCTGGAGAGCTGGTGCATCGGTCGCCGAGAAAACCTATGTGAATTCAATATGGCAGCATGAAAAATCAGGCCGGCCGGAAGCAGCGCGGCCCACGGCTAACACGAGCTGCCCCTGACTCAGGCCTCGGCGAGGGAATTGGGGGGAGGGGGCGGGAAGCAAGGCTCTCCTGGGTGTTGCTGCAGCCAGCCCTGGGGGGGCGGGGTAGGGAGTTATTTTTGTAGCAGGCTACTTTTCAGGGTACTGTAGGGCTCTGGAAGGGTGAAGAGGGAAGTTTGGGGGGGTTGTCATTTATTTTCTGTAACTTAATCAAAAGCTGGTGCACAGACCTAATTAAAAACGCTCCGTGATTTTGATCTGATTTTCTCCAGGTTCCACTAAAGTGGATTTTATGTGGCTGCTGATGTCTGTTTGATGCATAACTTCAGTGTTGTTTTGTCCTCACAGAACAACCGGCTCTTAAGAGAGATGGGTTTCTAATGTCAACATCCCCTGAGAACAGTACACCTGACAAATACCAGGTTCTTAGAGCAGGTTTTATGGCAGGAACCTCTGGAACACCATGACCAAGCCCGGAGACACCAGGGGGATGGGAGACTCTTGGAGGGTGACTCATGTTAGGATTTCTCTCTCTTCAACAAACAGCCTTTCTTCCCCACCTCACTGCTGTCCTGCCACCCATCTTCTCACTCAGGGGGAGGAGATGCATGAGGAGGCATTTGTTTGGGGGATAAGGGGACAGGGGAAGATTAGCACAAAGGTCAGGAATGGTGATGCTGGAAGCAGCCTGCCAGCACCGTGGTGTCCACTGGATTCTACAGCCTGGGCAGCCCAAACCAGCGGGGGGCGGGGCGGGGCGGGGGGGCACGGACTGAGCCCAAGGTCATATAGCTGGTTGGCAACTGGCAGTGAGGACTGAAACCCAGGTCTTGTGGCTCCTCCCCCAGTTCAGGGTTCCACAGGCCACCTTTGAAAGCCTGGGGGAAAACGGAAACTGGTCATTACGAGGGTGGTAAGCGGAGCAACCCGAAAACAAACTGTACCATGAATTTTAAAAATCCATAGGTTTCCCAATTCAGGCAATTTAGCTTCTTAAGCTGCGTGTGCCTCTTCACATTTTGCAGTGACTAAACGGCTTCTATATTTAAACCCTGGAAACATTATTATTTTATTCGTAATCTTTGAGGCGAGAAGCACATTCTCTGATTAAAAATTAGTTGCTGATGCTTATGGAGAACCAATAGGCCATTAACAAAAAAAGAAAGGAAGAAACCAAAATGGGGCATTTAATAGCTTTTGGATGTAGTATTTAATTTTAAGTACAAGGAAATAACAAGCCTAATTTAAAATACTTTGAAGCAGCTCTGAAGACAGGCCTTTTCTATCATTTGAATTTGAATTCTCTGACTCATACCCGTGCCCCCAGATCTACTAAAGCAAAACTAGAAATTGTGCCTGGGTTGGTATTTGTGCGGAGGTGGGGAGGGTGTGGGACATATTTCTTCTGGGTATCCTGTGGCTCCAGCCCAGCGGTCTGCAGAAGGAGAGGTGGGCTGGAGCAGGCAGCAGGGTGGGTCACTGGCGATGGTGAAGCAGTTAGCAGTTAGGTCTGGTTGGGTATGGGGAAGTGAGGACAGATGCTGGGACCACATGTACCATTAAAAAAATAACTGCATTAGAGCATGAATGTGCAGATTCATTCCTTTAAATTCCCCCGATATGCCAAAGGTATTTAAAATCATAAGTTTTTAAGATGCATAAACACGTTATTTGTGTTTGTTGAAGTACAATAAAAAATATAGATAAACCAAAGTTATTTTTTTAAAAATCACCCATGATCCCTTTGTCCAGCAATAATCAGTCATTGAGCCCTAAGAACAACCTCAGCCACTAGAATCTAGATGATAAAGACCTTGAAAACGTGTTTTTAGCTCCATTTCTCCATGGGTTGAACAAAGCGCTCATAGGTGTTTAGGGGCTCAAAATACATGCTGGTGCAATTCCTCAGACTTCTTAAAAGTCCTAATTACAACAATGTGCCCTTCTGAATATTGTTTGCTTCTCTCAAAGTAAAACCTTTGTGTATTTTAAAATTGCACTTAACAGTGTCCTGGTGACCTGAAAGAATTAAATGAGATGTGTTAAAATGTCCTTCCTAAGCACTAAAGTCATCAGACTTTAAAAAATAATGAGGAGTCCAGCCCAGGCCAGGTGCTCAGTTGGTTGGAGCATTGTCCCTTGTATGAAAGTTTTGCAGGTTTGATCCCTGGTCAGGACACATACCTAGGCTGTGGGTTCGATCCTGGTCAGGGTGCATGCGGGAGGCAACTGATTGATGTTTCTCTCACATAGATCTTTGTGTTTCTCACCCCCTTCCTCTATCTCTAAGATCAACAAACATATCCTTGGGTGAGGATTGAAAAAACAAATAAAAATAAAAGTCCAATAAGTGAGCATGCTAGAAAGAGATTTAAAATGTATAGGTACACATATATGTATATACATAGTGATATATTCATCTGTATGTATAAATGCTTCTTTAGAAAATTAAATGTGGTACATTTTCTAATGGTAACACACAACAAATGGCTGAGGCATAAATGGGCATTTATAAAGTAGTTTTTAAGTCCACTTTGCTAGATATAAAGTAACCCTCTGGTTACCAGCAAGATCTTATCACTACTTTACTTCTTCTGTAGGAAACAAATGTTTAGCTAATTTTTTTTTCATAGGAACAGAGTGTGTGCCACCATTTTAAGAATGGGAAGATATTTTAGGATTCCATTTTACAGGGTTAATAGGTACATATCACATCGCATTAATGGGAAAAGCTGAGAATAGACCATGCATTTTTTAGATGGGAGGGAAAACAGATGGTGGGAAGAGGAAGGTCATAATTCAAAGCAACCCTGCCAAATTAGTGGGCGCAATGGCAGCGATGTCGAAAACGAGGACAGAAGGACTCTAGATGCCGCTTGCTAGGTAGCCTCTGGCCCTTCCCCACAGAGAGGGCTTTGGGCAGGTAACCACACACCTGCCCTTCCATGCGGTCTTCTTGCTGTATCTGCATTTTCATGATACGTCCAGAACCCTGATCTTGAAGAACAAGTTAAGGGAACAAACCATTTTAGAATGTTTCCCTATTTTGATACTTTGCACTATTATCTCATTTAATCCCCGTAACAGTACATGGTCAACAGCGTGGTCAGATTTTACAGATACAGAACTTAGTAAGTACAGGAACTGTACCCGGAATTCGTATTTCATTAATGGGATGCAAATCATTTTCTTTCTTCATATTGCTACAAAGGATGAAAAACTGTCTTTCAACCTGCCATGTGCTGGAAAACAGCTTCCTTACCATGAACTTGATCCAGCTATATTTTTCTAATTTGGCTAGCTTGAGTAAAAAGGGAATCCTGCTTGTGCTGTTTTTCTACTCTTTCCTGCATTAAAAAAATTGTTGTAATCGCGAGAAATGGCCATTCAGCTCATTTCTCCTTTTCCCCTCATTGTATTTTTAAATAGTTGTATATATATTTATATATACATGCATTTGAATAGTTGTATATATAGGTGAGTAGTTGTATATAAATGTATGTAGTTGAATTGTTGTATATAGTTGTATATATATTTGAATAGCTTTATAAAGCTGTATATATCATTGAATAGCTGTTTGTAGCTTTATATATAGTTGAATAGCTGTGCATAGCTCAGTTGCATAGTTGTATATAGCTAATTATTTAGTTGAATAGTTTCCCTCATTTGCAGATCTGTGAAAGAGTTCTTGCAAGAGAGATAGACATGCAGTCTGAGCTTGTTTTAAATGATGTA